AATCCCAAAATAACATATTCCTTTATTCCCTACTATAACTGCATATATACCACATAATAATATGGTAGTTTCCATGTTCTTTTCCATGAGCCCTATAAAATCCCAATATACTAAGGTAGTTTCCATTCTATTGTCCGTTATCCCTATATGATCCCTAAATGATATATTGCCATATTCCCTACTAAGAACCTAGTAAATCAAACCCTGAGCTCTACACGCTGGGCAAAGGCTTTTGACGGTGCCGGTAATCTTGAAAGGTGGTCCATGCTGGGATCTTCCTTAAGGGTTTAGGGTTTAGGCGCCCTAAGGCCATCATTTGGTGGAGAAGATACTGGATGGCTTACCCAATTACTGTCTGACCCCCAAACAGTAAGTGCCTACATGCCGCCTGACAGCCCCAAATGGGGGGTGGGAGATTACGGAAAATAAAAGTCTCAAGTTGGAGATGTGGAAGGAGACATGTGCATTATGGAGCCCTCGACTTGATTTAAGGAAGCTCCAATTCTTTTTGATGCTATCGTGTGTCTTGTTGCACAGGGCCCGCAGTTTTCATAGAAGCCTTTCAGAATGGTAATGCCCAAGAAGCCTTTGCTACGAGGGCACGTGCCACGAAATCGTAGGAGGGCAAGCTTCAAGGGCAGAGACACCGCAGGCATTATCATGTCTGAATGGATAGAACCAGAAAGTCTAAGACCCCATGAAGCAACAATATACAATCCCAAATATAACCCCAATATAACCCCTAGATCATCCTTATATCATCCCAATAATCCCTATATAACCCCAATATACCCCCTATATATTCCTATATAATGACTTCCGAGGTGACCGAGTCTATGGTACTAAGCGCAGTTTAAGAGGCTGAATTCAGATACAATACTTTAGCCAAAAGGACTATATAATGTTGCTCTCTACTGGGTATCATAATACACTCAAACCCTAAAGCATAATCCCTAAACCCTAAACCCGAAGCTCTTAAAACCCTAAAAGCCCTAAACCCTAAGCCCTAAACCCCAATCTCCAAAGACCACCTAGGCTGACAGAGAAAACCCTACACCCTAAACCCTAATCCCCAAATACCATACTACTTTGCGGAACCCTAAACCCTAAACCCTAAACCCAGCTCAGTCTTCCTGGCATCCCAGGGATCGTTACATGGGGGCAAACCCGTACATCTTCAAACTCTCAAGGTAAAGGGTTACATAGGGATTATATAGGGGTTATATTGGGATTATCTAGGGGCTATATAAGAATCATCTAGGTGTTCTCTAGGGGATATATATATATATAAACTAAGGAGTTATGCAGGGATTATCTAGGGTACATAGGGATAATGGAAAACAGCATGGAAGCTGCTCGTTCGGGATTATAGGGTATGCGAGCACTTGGCCCAAAGCCTGCGGCTCTAAAAAACATATGTGCAAAAAACAACACGGTTTAGGGTTTAGATTTCAGGGCCAGCAAGTGCCGCAGCTCGGAAGCTTCCTGATGCTGTAGGTTCCGGGACTAAACAATGCAGGAATCAGGAGCTTCCCAAATGGAATCTCTGATGGATGTATCAGTAGATGAGAAGTTCCCCTTACTTATTGTCGCCATAACTTCAACAATCACAGTGCCCCCCCACATTTGGGAAACTATGGCCGGGTTGCTGTTTAGGAACCTAAAATGAATAAGTCACCATACTAAGGAAACCACATTATTTAGTTGCTAACAGCAACCCAGATCATATCGGTCTTCCTGCCAATGCATGAGCTGGAGTAACTCATAGGATGGCTCGCAAAAAATATCTTTGCTGTAAAGATCCGACCAGACGAAGGATGACGTAGGATTAGATAGGCCATAAGTCTAACCTCCCTAAAGTGGGTTGCATAGGGGATTATATTGGGGACTACTATTGGGTTATTAAGGGGTATACCAGGAGTTTAGACTATGGCTCAGGCGTATACAGGATAATATAAAGATGATGAGTTAATACGAGCAAGCTCACTTCTCAGACCCTCTGGGTATGGGTCTCAGAAATAGAAGCGAGGTACTTGGTATTGTTACTGCAGGGCTGAGGCCAAGAAATGGGAAATCAAATGGACAAGAGAATGAAGTATGAAATGAAACCTAAGTTTATATATCATGGCCCTATCTAAAAGCAATCTTTGCCCGGCGAAAGCTATTTGCGAAAGTAGAAAACCTCGTCAAAATCAATATTGTCAAAGCATTGGCTACATGATGCTTGCTGAAACATTCAGTTAAGCTGATCAGCAAAGCGCATACAAGCAGGTTCATATTCATCTGGGCCCTGGATAGCTCGTGTTTTGGCTAATTATAGAAATGACAGAGCCTACAAACAACGAAATTCTGGGGCCGGGTGTAGGGTTTAGGGGTTTAGGGCTTTGGATAACAAAACGGATGTCAAACGAATCCTGAGGGACTGGGGCCCTGCGCAACCTTGACCGCGGCAGACAAGTCGAGAACGAGAGAGCTGTCTCCCTTTTCCATGCTGGTGCTTAGCAGGAAACAGGGAATATAGCCCCTTCATAATCCCCATACGAGCCATAATCTAAACTCCTAGTATCTCCCTTAATAACCCCTATAGTAGTCCCCTATATAATCCCCTATACAACTCCCTTTAAGGTGTAGACTGTAGTTCATATAATATATTCCCTTATTCCTTACTAACCCCCAGTAAGTTTGGTTAGGTTAGGGTTGAAGATTCCCTGCAGGACGCCAATTGCTTAGGTGGGGGAAGTAGGTCTGAGTCAGCTGAATGCCGCCCATCAACTATACTTAGTATTCTTATCGCCATAACAATTAGTACATATTGTTGTAACTCTATAATTCGTGTTCTTATTGTTCTAACATTTAATATTTATTGTTGTAACTCTAGAAGTTGTATTCTTAATTGCTATAACAATTAGTATTTATTGTCGTAACTCTATAATTCGTAATCTTAATGTTTAACAACTCGCATTTATTGTTAACTGTTATGACTGTAACGAGTAATACTATTACTATTGTATTCAAAAGGCGAAGCCAGACATGGAGTTTTTAGGGGTTTAGGGATTAGGGTTTAGGGTCAGTCCTGAAACCCATGAAAAAGATTCTCAAAAGGATTCTCGAGAGAATCTCTTTCTAGAGTTCTATGATGCATTTCTCTCAAAATGTTACCGTGTTCCTGGAGCCCACCAAAAAACTGACATGGAACCCCGAAAGGCAGCCTTCCTCAGGGGTTATTGAAGGTTCTATGATATTTCTGGAGAATGGCAAGAATTCCAAAGCCTGAAATGAGACCATTTGTTCCATTGTCTAGACTCCTAAGTAGTAGCCCCCTTAATGGCCCCTATAATACTCCCCTTTCAGGAGTTTGGACTATAGCTCATTTGGGGACTACGTTGCTGTATCAACACCCGTTCGAGCGAGGTCAGGATACTTTGCCCAGGCTTGTGCCGGTGAGTTTTCGAGGGCTATGTCAAGGATGAACCTCAAGGTATGAGTTTAAGGGGATATTGGGGGATATCTCAAGGTTAGATTTATTGGGATAATGGAAAAGAACACGGAAACTACTATTTAGGGTTTAAAGTTTAGGGCAGCCCTGAACCCTAAACCCTAAACTCGTTTAGGGTTTAGGGCCACAGTTCAGGGTTTAGGGCTCGAGGTGTTGGAGTATGGTCTGGGGGGGCGCCAGGAGGAAGTGAGGCCATGTAGGGGTCTGGGTAAGATGCACTCCTACTCCCAACCTCGGCCCTTTATCCTGCAAACAGGCTTTTGCTTGAACGCGCAAGCCTAGTTTTGTGGGATAGTATGGAGGCAGATGTTCCCTTATACTGGCATGTAGAATAACAACTAGAAATGTGGCCGGCAACAGCTCAGAACCATCCCGTGAAAAGAATGTTCTACGTTTGAAAAACACAAGCAGCTGCGCCCATGCACTTGGCAAGGCTCAGATCTTCCTGTCGCACCCCTGAGAAATATCGGCTGCCCCAAAAAGTCTTCAAACCTGAGCTTAACGTGCTCATGGCTCCGCGTATTCTCTTATCCGCACTCCGCCCAGCTGCTGCCCCTCAATTTTGGTTTGTGTGAACAGATTCCACAAAAAGCCGCAACCAAGTTTAGACATTCAGAAGTGGAAGAAAAGAACTTTTGATTGGAATCTTACATACTTCTAAGGTTGAGGGTCGTGTGCTGAAGTACATGGACACTGCACTTCCTGAAGCCCTGATGAAAATCCGAGCATGACTCTTGCGACAGCCAGAAGATTGAAAACAACACGACCCCAAGGGTTCTTCCGTGACCAATCCACCACAGGGAAGTGGTAGTTTCCCAAACAAGGGGACTCCAATATAGACCCCAATATACTATATAACCCTCATTATGGGCACACCCAAAAAAGTACCCCCTAATTTTAGGAAACCCCATATGAGCCTGCAGCAGACCCTGAAGGAGAAAATTGCGAAAGCACGCTAGCTGGCTCTGGAAAGTGAAGTGCATTTAGCCCTTTACCATGGCAAACACTTCAGCGTCGAGTATGGAGGTATACCTGAGAAATTGTTACAGGAAGTCATTCAAACGGGGCGTGCTTCTTAGATCTCAAGAAGCGACAGAACCCTTGTTCAGGAAGAAGCATGTTGTCAAACATAAGGGCATGAAGCGGGACTGGAAATGAGATTTCCGCTAGCTCAGAACAGCCAGTAACATGCGCTTGTTCACACTTCTGCTACCAAAGAAAGCTGCAATGATAAAACACACATATATATACACACCTATATATATATATACATTAAAGGTAAGCCTGTTATGAATGAGCCCGTAATAAGCACAACCAAATCTCAGCCTGATGATTGTACATTTTCCGTCGTTCAGATTTGAGTCAATAAGCCGAAACTATGCCTGCATTCCTGCTATTACTACTATTATGATAAGTACTATTGTTACTAAAAATTACGATTGTTGCCATGACTACTATATTCTGAACAGCATGGGCCAGCATTGCAGTCAGTCGGACCAGTGCCTCATTGCGCTTCAAAAACACGTAGATGCCTTCGGCTGCTTGAGACAAACAGGTGCAAGAACAAGACTGGGTTGCTGTTAAGGAACTTCAATTAAGTTACTATATTGGGGAAACCCCATTATTTACCATATTTACCCATTATGGTAACTTAATTTAAGTTCCTTAACAGCAACCCAGCAAGCGCTCTGGGCCCACCACAAATCCCTAGAGGCCGAATATCCCTAAATGCCATGTCCAGCCCCCAAATCCATAAACCCTCAACCTAACTCGTTCTAGTCTAGAGTCTGTTCGAGTCAGTGGAGGGGACGCATCGAATTTGTACATCCCAGTAATGTGACCCCAACTCATTCTTTGCTTGCCAGCTTGCTTGCTGACAGTGCTGCCTTATTTGTCAAAACGCATTGTGCCAAGAAGTTGTCCGCGGGAGCTATGGCACTAACCCCGTATGAGGAAAGCTGCATCATACTAGGACAGGCCGTGCCAAATTTACAGCACGCTGGCACCCTGACTCCTAAACCCTTACACCGCCAAACCCTCCAAACCCTCCTGAAGAAGCCCCAAGCATTGCACCCAAAGCCTCACTCTCAATGCAAAAAGCACAGATGAAAACCCGTTAAGCCAGGACTCCCGGGCCAGCCACTTTATCCTTAATCTCAAGCACCTGATTAAAATCATTCTAGCCGACATATTCACACCAACGGTACATGTCATGGTCAGACTACGAATAGACGAAGCTTCTGGCAATTATCGTGTTAAGTAAGATACAAAAAATATCACCCCGAACCCTACACTCCCAAACCCCTCAATGCTACACTCCTACACCAAATTCCCAAACTCGAGAATCGCTTGCAGCATATGAGGCGTAGTCCAAACTCCTAGTATGCCCCTTAGAAACCCCTATAATATAACCCCCCCCCTTCAGGAGTTGAGAGGATAAACCCCAAACCCAGGAATACTCCCCTATACAGCCCCCTATATAACTCCCCCTTAAGGAGTTCAGACCCTAAACCCTAAATCCATAGTATATAATCCCCCATATACCCCCCTAAACCCTAAACCCCTAAATCCTAGACCCGAAGCCCTTTTACCCTAAACCTCCTCAGGAGTCACTGGACTATAGCTCATACGGCTCTGCTTCCCAAATCTGCCGCGGCGCTTTTGGCCAGTGGGACTGCCACTCCTCCAGGCAGGGTTTGGGGTTTAGGGTCTAGGGTCTAGGGCTTAGGTCTAGGGTTTAGGGCCAGGGGTAGGGTTTGCTTAGGGCTTAGGGTTTAGGATGGTTTTGGGCTCCGAACTAGCATGGAAACCTGCACAGGCCCTTTGTAGGGCCCCTGTTGGGGCTGCAGGTATTAGTTTAGGGGGCATATCGGCATGCTGACTTTGGAATGGGGGAACGGATCCCTACAACAACACATTCCGCCATCCCCAGCTGAGCCTGAGCGTGTGTAAGGAAAAGGGGGCCACCGAAAGCCAAAGAGGCTACAGAGCCTGAGTCTTGGTCGAATGGAGTGTATCCAACCTAGGGATATGGGGGGTTTAGGGTTTAGGGGTTTAGGGTTTAGGGTTTAGGGGTTTAGGGTTTAGGGTTTTAGGTATATGGGGCTTTCCCAAAATTAGGGGTACCTTTTTGGGGGTCCCTATAATAAGGACTATAATATTTTGGGGTCTATATTGGGGTCCCCTATTTTTGGGAAACTACCATATAGTGCTGTGATTAGGGATGATACGAGCTAATTGCACTCATCGCAGTGTATGTGAAAAAGCTGGAGCAAGCTCGTAATGACTGTAATGAACACCTTCTCAAGTCCCTGTCCACATCTTAGGAGCTTTGCAGAAAAACTCATACGACCCTCGCGAAGAGAGGCCTCCTCCCTACCATGCCAACAGGAGCTACAGTCAAATCGCTTATAGGCAGTCACCAACCAAAGGACTCTTCCAGACGTACTTGGAGAGCCACTTTTGTTGGACTTACGGCTCTGTTTGTGGGGTCCAGCTTAGACAGAAAAATTCTGCTTGGCCTCGCAACCCACAAGCCAGTTCAATTCCAACAAAAGCGGTCAAGAACATATACAGGAGTAGTAACTGAGTAGTACTTCCTGAAACAACTCCTAGATTTTTACCCCGAAGTCCTTCAACCCTGGCCCTTCAAACTTGGAGCATTTTGTCCGTCATGCGTTTACCCTGTTTTGCACAAATGCCCTAAACATGGCTGGAGTTGGAACATAAAACCGACGCCCATGATGCAGGCCAGGGTTTACATGGACCCTAAACCCTAAACCCTATATACCCCTAAATACATCCCTATATATCCCTATATATGCCCTTTTATAGGGGACCTAATTATTGGGTACAGGGACCCTTCGGGTTTGCCAGCGCGCCGGAGCCCGCAATTCTTAAAGCAGCACGGCACAAACAAACACCGCACATCCCACATTTCCAGACCCTCGAACCCTTGGCTCATATAATCCTCACATAGCCCCATATATAACAGTTTCCATGTCATGTTCCATTTTCTTTTCCATTTGGGTCTCCATTATTTGGGCTATATCCCCCTATAAAACTCTATAATCCTATGTTCCCATTTCATTGTCCATTTGCTTTTCCATGTGATTCTCCAGTATTGGGTTCTTGATTCAAACTTGTATGCCCTAAATCCTAATCCCTACACGAGCTGTCGACATGGCCTTGTAGGGGTCACGTGCGAGTCCGGGTTACTATTGAAGGGACGACTCTTCGAGGTTGTCCTCAGTGGGCCACAGCGGGGTCAGCGCTTGGGGCTTGGAGTTAAGGATCTGGACTTTTGGGTCCAGAGTTTGGCATTGATCGGGTTTTGGTCTGAAGGGCCATAACTGCCAAACCCTACCCACGACCTGCAGTGCAAGCATCTCTTTGCCAAACTATGTAACTGACCTTGGCTCGCTGCCAGTGTGACCCATTGAAGAATTGATTTGTCGATTGGTGGGTGTGGGGGGGGGGGGGGTGGGCTTTCACTTAAGCCTTTGACCTTCAGGCCCAAAGGGTTTAGGTTTAGGCAAGCCTGCTGAGCGGCGCGAGGAGTTGAATCATGATTATGGTCAACTGCACTGCTGCTGCAAGCAACTTCAAGCATGCTTTTTGTAAAGCAAGCTTGTTCAGACAGCATACATCCAAGCGACACCCCGATAAAATTCTCATTCAACACAGAAATCAACATCCATTTAGACACCTGCAAGGGGGTCAGAATCGTTTCGGACTGAAGGTTTGCTGCGCTTGCATAAGCAACGCCGCAAACTGTCACATCTTCCTGGGAGATAAATGTAAGGAGAGTGCTGGCTGCCTTCTTGAAATCAGGGGGTGCGCGTGTCCTTAACAAGTTTTGGACATATCAAAAAACCTTTCCTCTACACTACTGCCATTTACCATCATTTACCTATGGCCCAAAACCCTTAACTGAACCCTCAACCAACCCACGGAAACCAAAAGGTCACAAACGTTTAGTCTTAGACCTCATATGCCAACCCTCAGGAGCAAGCGTAGGGACGCCTTGGAAACCTTAAAACTTCTTGGTCTGGGTTTGCCTAATTTGAAACTCCCTGAATCCTAAGCCGAAGCATCTTAATGTGCTGGTAAGCAGAGTTGTGGAACGCTTCCTCCACGCCTGGGCAAGTTGCTGCCATAGATCCGGCAAGAAGGGCTCAGGGGCACAGGATTTCTCACCCAGACAGAGGAGGGTCTAGCGCTGACAATGAAGGCTTTCGCGCTTAGGGTTGGGGCTTTGGAATTAGGGCTCTGAGTTTGTTGCTATGACGTTGAGGCTTAAGGGTTGAGCTTCAGGTCAGGGATTCGGGGTGGAGGGTCTGGGGTTTGGGGCTGTCTGAGCCTCATCGAAGGATGATGTAGAGAAGTGGTAGGAACAACATAGAACAACGGCAGCGGGCCCGGTATGCGCTTTGGGCAAGGGGCGTTGTTCTTTCAACTTATCCGTCCCTTTGCCCTTTGTTGGTCTCAAAAGCACGGGAAAAAGCGTCCACACTGTGCAGTACTTTTTGCAACACAGGTGCTGCTGGGCTTCACACTCTGAGTGCAAGCAAGACTCTGAACCCCTGCACCGGACCGCGGAGCCCCAACATGCAATTCTCAAGCCGCCCGGAACACACAAACTCAGCAGCCCAATCCGGAGGTTGGACAGCTAAACCCACCATCTCTGAAGATATGACTTCAAGCTTTGCAAATTTTGCCGTGCTCATTTGCCGCTGAGGCTCTCGAGTAGCTGTTCCTCAGGTGTGTGCTTCCAGCTTATTTGGGAGGTGTCTAGCCGTAAACCCTTAACCCTGATACACAAAGCTCTTCTACATCCCCAAAACTCAAAACTCCAAAGCTGACAAGAAGCTATTCCGGTCCGGAATTCAACAGATGTGGTAATTCGGGGTTCTGCGTTGGCTGGTGCAAAAATAGGCCCGAGATACGGATGTCCGCCTCCTCAATTTTAAAAGTCTCCGCCCCCTAATGATGATCATTCCACTACAGTGTATAATGAAACCTGTGCAGGTAGTACTCTTTTACTATTTCTATCCTTTAGGGTTAAGACCAGATGGGTGCCCGGTACTAGCAAGAAGGGCAAAGGTATCACAGCGGCATAGCTTCAACGCTCCAAATGATGAACTCTCAAAGCCCGAAGGCCCACACACCAATCCTAGCACTCATAAACTCCTTCGGATGAAAACTTGGCCATGTCTTAAGAAACGCTACTAAACCAGCTATACCCTCAAGCACTGGCCCAGGTTATGTAATCTCCAGATCAAGGCACTCCGCATGCTCGGGAAGTCCATTGGAACCAGTGATGGATATGTCTGCGGAGCCTGCCAACACTGTGGCGCGGACAGAAACAGAAGGGTTACAATTCCTCCTTTTTGGACAGTGCCAAATGCACTTGGAACAGCGACAAGGACTAAAACAGCCTTCGCCCGCCGCGCCAGTGTTGGCCTTTAGGCGATTCCTGAGGCTGCCAGGTGCCGGCGGCGGTTGAAGCGATTGGGGTTAGGGTTGAAGGTTAAAACCATATAGTACACACGCGAACGAGTGCGTGATGATTCAGGCTTTAGAGTCTGCAGAAGAACCGTCATCAAAACAGACATGAGGTGAGCGTTCAAACGAAAACAAGAAGAGAAGAAGTCAAGATACTGAAGAGGAATAAAAGTTCAAAGTCCTCAAGCTGCGTACTATCCCATAAAGGAGTAAGAGCTTGTGCAAGCAAACATAATATCGTGAACAAGGGACTTCATGAAGTGAATCTCAGAGCAGATAGAAGGATCGTCCCAGTAGTGAGCAGTAAACATCAGGAACCCCACCCCTAAACCCCTAAAC